CATGATTTGAATTCAATGACAGATTCTCCCCAACTTGGGGAGGATGATGTAGCACAGAAGGAAGGTAATAAGTTCTATGCAAGTTGGACCATTCTAAGACACATAAGAAGCAGAGATGATGCCACCGGCCCAACTTAGTAAATGATTACCGATATAGCATAATCACAGAATTTCTATCTTAGTTCCTTTTTACCAAGTTAGCGTTATAGCGAGATTTTGAATTTGTATTCAATTAGGACTTTCATTTTGAAGGGTTTTAGTAGAATTCTATTATGGAGTGTTTCCTTAGGTTAGGATTGCTAAGACTTTCTTTTTGAGGAGTTTTGGTAGGATTATATTATGGAGTGTTTTCATAGATTAGGAAACTTTCTTGTAGGATCCATAAGGGCGTATGATTATATAAAGAGTAGCTAGGGGAAGGCTAAGATAGTTTTTGATATTGAATTTTCTCTTAATTATTCAGCGAAGAATTCTTCTTCCTAGTAGTTTGACTTCTGCTCTTTTCTTTGAAGCTTCTCTCAACATGTTTTATTTTTGTACTGCGCCAGGTTGGGTCGTTCGATTTTGGTTAGTTTATAAATGGCCAAAGAAAAACTGATCCAACCCAATCGGGTTGGGAAATTGTTGAACCAAAGCCAACTATAAATACTAGAATTTGGGTTGGTCAATTTCATTAGTTTGATTAGGAATGACAACGGGGTGGGACGGGGACAAGGAGGCTCTCTCCATCCTTGTCCCCGTGAAAATCCCCATCCCCATTAATGGGGACAAAGTTATCCCCATCCCCATCTCCACGGGGACTCTCACTCCCCATGACTCATTATAATGTCAACCATTATATTTTTGTGTTTTTATTTTTATTAAAAATAAAAAATAAAATAATTAAAATTTACAATCATGTTAGAAAATATTCAAACATACTCAACCATATTTTTAAAAATATTAGCATATAGATGTATGTACACATATATACATATATAAACGTATGCGCATATATGCATACATATTAGTGGGGATTGGGGTCCCTACACCATCCCCTCCAATAGGGATGAAAATTTTCCCATCTCTGTCCTTGCGGGGGGGGAATCATCCCCATCCCCGCCCATTCGGGGGCAAATCCCCATGGGGATTGGGGAATATGGGGAAATCACCATCCCTAAGTTTGATAAACAACCATATTTAAAATTCATTATTGTCATTTTTGTATTGTAAAAAATTATTAAAATTAATATACAAAATATAAATGATTATTAATTATTATATAAAACAATTGTATACTTTTACGTGTTTCTATTGTTTATCTTTAACTTAATAAATCCATGCATCGCATGGATCCCCGCTAGTTGTTTAATATGACAACCAACTTATGGTGGCTTAGTTGATAGGTTATTTGGGTAGTTGTAGTAAAGACCTGAAAAAATCCTGCTACCACTAAGGTTGGGGTTAAAGCTTTGAGGTATGGGCTACTCCTGTAGTTGTGTAGTCATGTAAAGTAAAAAAGTGCTTAATATGAAATGAATAACTAAGTCAAAAAACAATTTTAAAGTTAAACAAATGAAGATAACCAAAGGTTCATGTTAATTGCTTTCTTATTGCATTGTTGAAAGGAGAAATAACTAAAAAAAGTAAAGAAATAACTAATAGCCCATGAAAGGAGAAATGGCTTCTTTATACTATTATATAAGAAGAAAATTGGTTCACCACATATACTAGTGGACATATTTGGGTTTTGACATTAGTTTGGTCCAATGTAAGGTTCATATTTAAGTGGGCCATTAACCTAAATCAATCCATCTAATTAACACCCCTACTTTATTAAAGAAAGCTAACATGGGTTAAAGAGATTTAAAAGGAAAATAGGGATTTAATGGAGAGAGAGGAATTAAATATGGGTTTTATTGAGAGACAATGAAGATCCATGAGGGTTTTAACTTTGCCTTATTATATTTTTAATGATTTCATTTAAAAATAAACATGAACATGTGTGAGAAAGGAAATAAGGAGGAGGTACATGTGAGTTATGTGGTGAGAGGACCCCTCACCTCCCCTCCCCTCCCCTCCCCTCTCCCTCTCTCTATCTAACTGTCTATCTATCAATCAACCAACCAATCAATCAATCAATCAATCAAATCTATCTATCTATCTATCTATCTATCTATATAAGACTAGCGGTGCACGGGCTTTATTAAACAAAATTGAGGAAGGACTTTTGTGAAATTTCCAATTAAACAATGCTCATATAAGTACAATCCAAGCATTATTTTTGGATTATGTCTAAATTATCCAATCACAATCCAAGTTGTGCTTTGGTAAGAGTGGTTAATTTCTTATGTGCAAGATAAATTTGTATTATTTTCTATAGCTTAATACTATATTTTTTTTTAATTTTTAAATTTCATTGGTTTGTTATTATTTTTAGGTAAAATTACAAAAAGAAAACTCCTCTTATAACAATTCTATAAGATGAGGGTTTGGCCCTAACAAAAACCTTCCATGTAGTTAAAAAAGCGGTGCAAATACCTTCTTTCTGTTAGCTTTTCAATAATAAAGGCATTTAAATTATCAATATACCTTTATAGTTGTTAGGGCATTATCATACACAATTTAAAGTTTCAACTTTACCTCCACAATAATTTTGATTGACAACTTTTAAAGTGTAAAAGTTTTTTCTTTGTCTACTCTTCTTAGGCAAAGTAAACGTTTTTTCTTTGAGTTATTTTAGTAAATTTACATTTGAATGAAGTTCGTTAAGAGTAAGTTTGGTATTTTAAAAAATTAATACATTACATCAGCATGTTCCATTTGGAACGCTAATGAAAGGAAGATATTTGCACATTTTTTTCAAAACAATGGGGGGTTATTAATTTTAAATGGATATTAATTTTAAATTTATGTTAGTACTCTTTATCATTTAATTTATTTTTATTATATTAATACAAATATTTTTATCAATAATAATAATTAACAATTATTTTTATTTTATTGAAGTAATTTATTAATTACTTTTGCTATGGTTAAATAATTTTAATTATTTTTAAATGGAATATAATGAGATTATAATTTCTATAATGTTTTATTCAATGTCTTCAACCTATCATTGACTCAAATGGTTGATCATTCAAATTGTCACTTGGTCTTATTTGTAATTTTAGATGTCCTAAAACCCACTATTTTGTCAAAAACCATTGATTTGGTCAAAAGTTGTTCAACTTGGGTGGTTTAACCATTGACCCTTTTGACCTAGTCATTAGGTCACAAGTTACAATATACAATGCATTGAAAGCTTTTGAAAGACTAAATATTATGCTTGGTTATGAGATTAGGGTGACATTTTTTATTTTGGGTAATTTGTTGCGATCTTTGCAACCCCATTATACAAAAGGAACTCAATTTTTGGCCTCAAATTTAAAATTTTAGATCTTTTATTTATAAAAAATTAAAAACTAAATAAAAGTACAATTTATACCTAAAATAATATACACACAAAGTAAAATATAATTATATTATATAATATTATACATGTATAGATGAATATTGAACTGTGGTCTAGAGACAAAAACTATTTAGCCTCCAAGTCAGATTTTAAAACATTGGTTTTATTTGTTGAGTGAAGTAAATAATTTTTCTTATGAAATGCAAATTAATTGATTAATTAACTTAAAAATTAATTACCTTTTAAATAGAAGTAGATTATTTAACCTAATAATATATCATTGAACATTTTGAGTTCAATATAATTAATTTTTATTAATAACTATAATTTAATGTACATATATCTAAAGTTAATGAATTAATGGAGTAATGGAGAGGAGAGAAAAATAGTGGCATGAATTTTTGCAGGAAAGGATTAATGGCACAATTAATGAGGAAAAATAATTAAAGGAATTATTGAGAAAGATGGGAGAAAGTTTATGGTGAATTAATGAGGGGAGATAAGAGTCTTAAAGGTGATTGGCCACTTGAGTTATTTTGTTTAATTTTACCTATACATTAAATGTGTAAATGAAAGCGTTGACTTTTTTGTTTGACTAAAATACCCTAATTTTTTAATTTGGTCATTTTCTAATTATAAAGATAAAAATGTAATTTGAATGACTACCTTTCTCCTCATTTAAACCCATCTCATTAAGTCTTATATTTAGGGTATTAACTCTCGTTCTTTCATTGAATGCTATATTAATTAATCATATTAAAAAGAATAAGTGTGACAAAGAATAATTGTTTTTATTAAAGATTGAAATAAAATACAAATTTAAACCAATCAACTTTTTGAGTCAAAATGTGTTTACCTTTGATGTCATAGTTAAATAATAATAAAAATTAAAAAAAATATGAAAAGACATAAAAGCATAGAAAATACAAAAAAGTTTATAGAAGACAGTTGAACACATCTCCAATATCATATATTCATCATATTAAACAAAAATAAATGTGACAAATAAAAATAATTTTTATAGATATAAAAATATAAAAAAATGTAAAAAATATTTAAAACATATTATTTACTATCACCATCATCATAAACTGATATTTTGAACCTTGCCATTCCCCATACCCCAACTTGATCTTGACAGGATTTGATTTGAAAAATAGAAATCAAAATTATTTTGTTTACACGGTAGGACTGTCGGTCAGGATGGACCCGATGGACTCCGAATTAATTGTATTGTCCCAATTCTAGTTCCTGATATATTGTCACGATTCTTATCAGCTCAGAATAGGATTAGACCCGATTGTCCCCAAAACCGATTGATTCAGTTCTGGGTCTAAAATTATATAGGCTAGGCTATCGGATCCTTGGTATTTCTTGTTGGGTCAGTTCCGGTCTACATGGACTCGACCCGTTGTCATCCCTATTACACGGTTTCATCTATTACAAAATGAAAGAAAACCTTTCTTTATTGATCAACCACCTATGGTATATCATGGTTCCACTTCTCACGGGCAATCTGTACTTAATTCAGGAAATAGTAGAAATAGTACCATTTAAAACTAAAAAAGATCGATGGCAAATCAGTGTCAAACTTTTTATTTTGCAAAGCATCACAAAGCGTGGTCAGGAATCAGGATGGAAAGAGAATACATCTTTCGTTAACAGGAGAAAAGGTACAGAAGCAGATGATTTAAGGCATGAATACATATTATATTTAGATCAACAAAGAGGTTATTCGCTTCTACCATGACGTGACATGGCACAGGCCTTCCCTTATGCACCATCTTCTCCAATCTTCTTCCGCATCTTGTACTGCAACATTATAGGTGCACAATCCAATGGTGTTTCCCCTGACCAAGAGATGCTACAATGATCAATTACTAATATTACATGGAACTACACGGGTAAGCAAACCGATGAGAGAGGCCTCGAACTACTGACAACTGACAACGACCAACTTACATGATTTATGTGACAATTCATAAACTAAATTGGAATATAGGCAAAATTAAAAATCATAATAATATAAAATATTTTTCAGTTTTGGTTGATTACAAATAAAACAAAGCAATTATACTTTTTTATCAATCGCAATATCTGAGTCCGGATCTGTTCCTCACTTAGCGCTCCTCACACCAATCCTATAGCATGTTCTGGCCGCACATTGAGAATATCTCCCATACTTGTAATTATAATTCATTTGGGAGATATTCCCAATACACGGTGCGATATGGCTGTGAGATCGGTGTAAGGAGCGCTCTTTGAGGAGCAGATCCCAATTCGCAATATCTCCATTAACCTGAAATCTATTTGCTTTTGTCTTATGTGCCACTCTGCGTCTTAATGTACTAAATGTGAAAATATAATCTCCATTTATAATTCACTCATGACTCATGACAATGGGAATAACCAATCTATAAGCCAAAAATGATAATTATGATTCTTTTTTTAATTGAAGAAAAATAAAAATAGAAAATAGAAATAACCAGTACAATAAAAAATTGAACAAAATTAACAAACTTTGTTATGCACTCTTACTTTAATTATTTAAAATCATGCCTCCACCTTTAGCCTTTTAAAACCTTTGGTTCAATTTGCCAATAAAAAAGAAAAAAAATATTTAAGGGCTCATAAATTAACAGCGGATATGGAGCTGAACAGAGTGGAATGGGGGAATAGGATTCAAGTGGGTATGGCCAACCCGTATGATTGGGACCAAGGCTCAGCTGATTTGAGTAGGATATCAAATAAAACGTTTGTCGTTACCTATAGAAAAATATGAAGTGGAAAATACACATCAGGAAGCGATAGCAAAGACCATTGTGGATCGTTTTAAATCTTTATATGGTACATCTCACCATAGAGGTTTTAAATCTTTGTATGATATATATCAATTTTCAGGGTTACCAATATGTTAATAAATGAGATTTGTTCATTTTGAGTGTTATATATATTAAACCCTGATGTAACATTTCCACTGAAAATGTGGAATAATTTTTTTTTTTAAAAATAGTATTGATTGTTAGAAACTTTTGATATGTTAAATTTTGGTATAACAATATTCATACTTTGAACCTTTGTTACAACTAGATGCTTTGAGTAGCCCTATTTATTTACTTTTTTAGAGTAGCCCAATTTAGATAGGATGATGGAAAAGGCTTTGGAAAAAATTTTCAAGCTAAAGAAAGTTAATTGCAAGGGATAAAGCTGTCTAGATGGTTTCTCCACGGCTTTCTTTCACAATTGTTGGGATATTAGAAAGAATGTTTGGTGGAAGCTTTTGGAGAATTCATGAAAGAGGATTTGGAACTTCTAAGATTTTAATCCCTAAAAAGACTAATGTTGTGTACCCCAAGGCCTTTGGACGCATAAGCTTTGGTATACATCTTCTAAAAAATAATCTCTAAGGTCCTTGAGGACAAATCATGGATCAAATTTGCATACATAATGAGTAGACCTGTTCATAGGCCGGGTTGAAGCCCAGCCCATGAACATTTTACACTGTTTCAGGCTCTGGCTTCAGGCCAGGCCCATTCAAATTTTGGCAAAAGCTAAACCTGAGCCCGGCCCATGAACAGGTCTAACAATGAGTTTGTCCATGATTTGAAATGAATGGGTATGGAAAGTTAGGTGTGCAAATTGATCAATCCTAGGTTTAAGGATTTGGTTGAGAATATGTAATATATGAAAGAGAGAAGAACTAAGAGAATAATCTGCCTTTTTTTTTGTGAAACAACAGAATAGTATATATACATTATACAAGGTGTCTTCTACATGACTTCCACCCCAAAGGAATCAAATATATTACCGATATGAACTACTTATGTTTACAAGTGAATCCCCATGGCAAAGCTATAGCCAGTTAATTGGTAGGTTAACAGTGTGATAGGGTTTTGTGCTAAACTCATCTTGACAATTAGATAGTTAGGAATGACTTTTTTAACAAAAAACTGAAATGATAGTTAAGTATAACTTGATTACTTTCTATTTTAGGAAAAAGGTTGTTAAGGGCCCGCCAACCCATGAAATTAAGTTAAATTCTGTGCTTGATGATGGCATTTAAGATATGACTTTATAATGTTTTTACTTCCTTAATTATACAGCTTATCTATATCCTTTGCTTATCTTTCTTTTTAAATAATAATTTTCTTTTCTAGTTGCTGTTTAGAAATTTCATAAAGTAAAATATTGAAAATGACTTCTAAGTGTTAAATCCGAAAACCCTATCATTTTTCACTTTCTACTCTACATCTTCTGAACTATATTTCACCATTGATCAGACAAACTAGACATCTTATTTCAGTAAAACATATACCCACACAAAGTCAAATTCCCTTTCTCTTCTAATTAAAGCATACATGGAGTTAGAGATATGCCCACCCATATTTAGATGCTTGTATTCTAGAATTCACTCAAACAATTGTCCTCCAAAACTAGATTTCCAATCTTGTCCAATCTAGCAAACTAAAAATAAGATGACAAAGTTGGTTAGACTTTACCTTGTGCATTCTTGTAGTCCAGATTTGCTCCATAATCCATGAGAATAAAAGCAATCTCAGTTTGGTTAAACAATGAAGCCTGCACTCAGTTAACATTGTTATTATTTCCATAAACTTGTAAATATCCTCAAAGTCAAATTGGTTCACTAATACGATATGTAGAAATAAAAAGAACAATGGAATAGAAATTTAGAAAGGAGAAAATGGAATACTTGGTAAGGAACCTGTTTGTTATTCATGCAAAACAAGTAAGAAAACAAGATCTGCTACACAGCAAGAGGGTGGTTCATTGGCAGTCACTGATCAGAGTTAGAAGATATCCCTTCCAAGTTTCAAAATTTCATTACGTATCAGTGGATCACCGATACGTTAAATAAGTATGCTTGAGAGTTTGACCTAATTTTAAGGGGTAGGCAGGCCTAAGACCTATCCCTGACCTATTTTTTTTAAAAAAAAAGTAAAAAAAATGGATGGGCACAAGGTTTAAAGTTCCGATACACCCCTAGCGCCATATTGGGGTGTACTGATACTTTGAACCTTGGTCCCTTCAGAAGGAAATCAGATCTGTACTAGAAGAGAAGAATAACCAAAAGAGATGAGAAAGGTGTGAAAGATAGGTTCAGATATGAGAGAGAAGAATAATGGAAGAAAAGGGAGAAGGAAAAGAGCTGTTCATTAATCACTCTCCAGTCCCTAATTACTTTTAATTATCACTAATAAACAGAGAAATTAAAAAGATGCCCTTAGTAGGGCGGCTAGCTCATAAACATCTAAAATAAAGACTAACAGGCCCATATAGTTGAGGCCCATTACCATAAAACAATAAACATAAAGAAAATAAATGATGATTAGGGCCCATTCGACCCAATATCTCTACACTACCCCTCAAGCTAGGCATCAATGTCAATCATGCCCAACATGCTTACATAATGCTGTACAACTCCTTTCGTCAAGGTGTTTGCTAACCATTCTTCAGATGCAACAAATGGCAAGCACACTTCCCCTAATGCAACACTCTCCCAAATGAAATGTCTATCCACCTCAATATGTTTTGTCCCATGCTGAACTGGATTATGAGCAGTGTTGATACACTCTTGATTATCACAAAATAACATAATCGATTTATCACAGACAATGCCCAACTCCTCTAAGAGAGATCTCAGCAACAACTCTGAAACACTATATGCCATAACCCTGTATTCTGCCTTAGCCAATGATCTAGCCACTATAGGTTGCTTCTTACTCCTCCAAGAAACAATATTCTCTGGAACCATAGAACAATAACCAGAAGTAGGTCTCTTGTCATTTGCCACTGGCCCAATCAACATTTGTATAGTCCTCTAACTTCATGTGTCCATGGTTGGCAAATAGAATGCACTTCCTTGTTTTTTTTTCTAAGTAACACAAAATTCTCCCCCTATTGTAACAAAACGTGTCTCCAAAAGCATGCATAAACTGACTAATTACACTTACAACATGGGAAATATCAGGTTGTGTCATGCAAAGGTAATAACAACTTCCCAAAAAGTCTCTGGAACACTCCCCTATTAGCTAATAATTCCCCATCATTGGCCAAGAGCTTGTGATTCAAGTCTATACTTACCTATTTCTATAAGAAGATCAAGGACATACTTCTCGATCGAGCAACTTCTATTTCCAAAAAATATCTCAACTCACTGAAGCCCTTAATCTCAAATTCAGTGTTAAGAAACTTCTTGAGGTTTTGAACTTCCTGTGAGTCACTTCTAGTAACTACAATATCATCAACTAAACAATTAATAAAGTCATTAGAGAATCTCTCCTGTTCACACAGAGTGTGTGATCAGACCAAGTTTGAGTGTAACCAAAGCTGATGAGGGTAGCACAGAACCTCTCAAACCATGCCCTAGGAAACAATTTAAGCCCATAAAGAGACTTATTTTAGGCTAAAAACTTTCCCGTGCATTTCCTTACGATATGTGCCAGGAGGAAGAGACATAAATTTCTTCATAAAAGTCCCCATTTAAGAAAGCATTTTTAACATCAAACTAATAAGGGGCCTAGTCAAAACTCATTGCCAAGGATTAGAGAACCCTAATTGAAGTCATCTTAGATATTGGGGCAAAAGTCTGCAAGTAGTCTTTGTTTTTGGAGATAAATAAAAAAGAAAATTTATTAGAGAAGAAGGGGAAAACAATTACATAAAGGTCATAAGATAACTGTAGAGATGTAGAGCAATAATGTGTGCTGTTATATTGCCGTTAGTTATTTATTGTGATCCCCACTGCTGCTGTTACTTGTTTGCTGTTTTATATTTGCAGTTAGGTTGCTGTTAGTGATGTTAGTTTTGTTAGTTATTTGCTTATGTAAGCAGTAGCGGCATTAGTGTAATTGCTGCTTTATTTATGATGTTAATATAAATAGTTGAGTGGGGTGGCAACTCTAGTCAACCCACACTCTTTCTTTCATCTCTCTCTTCTTCTTCTTCTTTTCTGCTATTTTTTCTCATTAAATTCACATCAAGAATTGGACTGATTACAGTCCTCATTAGTCAACTTGGTATCAGAGACAGGTTAGGGTTTATCATATGTGTCTAATCCAGCCAATTGCATGAGAACTTCCTAGGGCTGGAAGTTTAGCAAGATCTGTCCATCAGCTGATTCTTGTAGAGTCTTGGAGAGTGTCTGGTAATTAGGAAGAATCAGAGAAGAGCAAGAAGGATCAAGATTAGGGTTCAAACTGGGATTGGAAGTAGCGATCAGGTTTTTCTAGGTAAGTTTTTGTTTCTCCTTGAGATCGACACCAATCAGAGATAGATCAGACCTATCTAACCCTACGAGTTTTTTTGTTTTCTCAGAGTTTTCTCTAGGGTTTTTCTTAACCCTACGACCAGACCTGACTGTTAACAATTTTTGGGTGATTTCTAGATCAGTTTCAACATTCCAAATTGTTTTCTGGTTGATTTCTAGGCTAGTTTCAGCTTCCAAACCTTTTCTGGGTGATTACCAGATCTGTTCCAGCACAAAAGTTTCTCTTTTAGGGGGGGGGGGGTGGTCTTGCAGAGAACTGGTTTCTTCTGATAAACCTCTTATAGAAATGGCAGGAGCTGAGTTTAAGACTCAAGGGGAAGGTAGAACTACAATTTGAAGTTTGTCATCTCTCAAAGCAATGTAGGACTACATATTTTGCAAGTAATAGAAGAAGTGATGTTGCTTTTAAGTTTTAACTTGATATATACTGATGTTTGGGGCCCATATTCTATCCTTTGCATGGTGGCTATAAATACTTTATCTTGTTTAGTGATGATTACTCAAGATACACTTGGTTATATTTGATGAAGAGCAGAGATGAAATCTCCTCCATTGTTCAGAACTTTTTTAAAATGGTGGAAACATAATTTGAAAAGAACATCAAAATAATAAGGTTTGACAATGCTAAGGAGTACTTTGAAAAACATCTATGTATCTTTCTTGAAAAAAAAAAGGCAATTCACCAGAACTCATGTTCCCATACCCCTTAGCAAACTAATGTAGCAAAGAGAAAAAA